TCTATTTAAAGGAACTGCATCTTTTCTGTTTTTCCATGATGTCTGTTTCCTGCTCCTGGAGTACATGCATATACTCATTCTCTCTTTTGTTTCCCCAATTCACCTTGACACTTTTCGAGTTACATATATGCTTATTTATTTATTCATTCACGGCAGCATTGCGCCCTGTCGTGTTTCGCTTGTGTCGACGTTTACCTTTTCTTTCCCTATCCATCCTCCTTTAGCATTATTTTTTTCATGGCTTATCTTCTTGAATTGAAGAGGGATGAATTGCCTGATGCGCCAAACACTGCCTGGCAGACATATTGGTTTATTTGCTGAACGGGTTACTTCGTATATTTTCGAGGAGACGATCAATTGAGGACCGAATCAAGATCTCTTGGCATTGGCTTTTTTTGCACGAGACCTTTTTTTAATTTTTTTTTTTTTTTTCAATTTTTTTTTTTTTTTTTCCGATCATTGTTGATCTCGTCAGAGCTGTGGGAAATGGTGTCACATCGATCACAACTCCACAGGATCTCCACCTGAAGCATGGATGGTGGGCCAAGGCAGGTAGGCGTGTTCTAGTTGAATCTGGTTAGCGAAAGTTGAACATGGTGAGAAAATTCTCACTCGGATCGAGGATCACCTTACTGATTCAAACCACGCTCAACTAGGTGGCTGCAGGCACTCGCTCATTCCAATGTGCGCCTATCATTGATATTTATATATTTATCAGCGTCAACCATCAACAGGACCTAGCAACTAGGTATTCTTCTAAATGGCTGGCAATGAATAGCATATGCTTGCATCTAAAGGAGAAACATATCATATAAGTACAATGTAATAGGATTGCAACAATGTCTCGAAGAACTATTCAGCATATGTTGTGGTGAGAAGCTTTGATTTTCCTTTTCGAACCACGCTCAACTTTCTTGTCGGACCGCGATCCTAACCATGGTGGGAGCGAGGGCAACCACGAAAACGAAAAACTAGTTTCTAACCCTGTTCAACTTTTTTCAACTTTTCCCCACTCACGTTCAACTAGAACCCCCAAGCACCCACACCCACACCGGCCAGCAGCACAAAGCACGCAGAAGACGCCAAGTTCTGCGGTGTCCACTGCCCAGTTTGGCATGTTTGCACCGATGTCGTGATCGCAGACCAATCACACCTCGTCGAAAGACTGCAACAACGACGCCTGGCCGAATGGGCAGGGAAATAGTAGTAATAGTAATCATGATGGCGTGGATAAGCAACTCGGTTTTCTTTTTTCTCTCTGCTTCTCATCCTTACCATTGCTGTTGGTATCTCAACCGTTATAGAGTGCGTCGGGATTGGATTGACTGTGGTTGAGGTTACGCCTGCGCTCTGGTATCGAGCTCGTCACCCCCGCCTTCAATTCAGTTGCGATGGGATCGGTGTCAACTGCGGGCGAGGCCGGTAGGTTGCCCTTGTGTGTTGCACTGGCTGAAGTGAATACTGCTCGTTGAAATTGGAGATGATCTTTCATGCTAAATTTTATCTGGTTTCAACCGCACAGTCGCGAGGATCGCTTATCTCTCGAGCGACCTTGTCTTGTCTGTGCAGCCATCCCTTCCAGGCCGATTCGCTCTTTTCAAAACACCTCAGGAAACTCTCTGCGGACAATGTGCGGGGAATAGTGTCGCAGGGGTTCCCGGAGGTATGGTAACTCTTTTAATTCGCCTGTTGCTACTGCTATATAGACATAGCTCTAATAAATTCCACTCCTTCTTCTTCCCATGGTAGATCCGCTCCCTTCGCCAGAATGAGGACCCGCTACTATCGGCCTTCCAGCCGTTGCAGTCGGGGCACCGCGTTGCTCTCACTGCCTCTTCTTCTGTCCTCCTTCCATCCATACCCTACCTATATAAACTGGCAAACTACCCCCTCGTCATTCATGTTTGTCTGGATCCAGCCCCTTTCCCCGATTACTCCGTGGTTAGCTCTATCCGCCAATGTGGATTTTCCTTTCTGCATTCAGAAACATTGCAAGAGGCTCAGGATATTGCCTTGACCGCACATTCTCTTGCGGCAAAGTCGGGGAAAGGAGTGATCCATTTCTTCGACGCAACCAATTCCCACCAGGATAAGCCGATTGCGTCGGAGGATCCGGAGCTCGTGAAGAAAATCCTGGATTTGGAACTTGTTCAGCACGCTCACGTGTCGTCGAATGCTCCGCACACATTGTATGCGAACTCGGGGCGTGTGGCTACCATTGTGGAGGAAGATCTGGGAGCAAGCGAGGGACACGCTACCGGTTTATCCGCTTCCCAGCTTTCATTGCCGCTGAATACGTCTGCCAATGGGCATTTCTCCGCCTCCTCGTCCGGGAGCGACAGCGGCTCGGATGGCGTTCCCGCGAGTTCATCAGCCACGACAGTGGAACCCTTAACTGTACGGCCCGTGGACGCTTCTGATATCTTCCAAATAACCAGCAAAATATGGGATGCATTGTCGCAGTTATCTGGGCGTCAGTATCATGCTATCGAATACGTGGGACCGGATAATGCGCAATCGGCCATCTTCGTTTTCGGCTCCACCGGCGTCCTTGTCGATGTCCTCAGGAACCCGAGCAGCAAAGCCGATTTCGCAAACGTTGGAGTCATCACTGCTCGTCTCTATCGTCCCTGGATTGGTGGCCAAATATCTCATACTATCCCGAAGTCGATCGAGCGCATTGCAGTCATGGAGCAGGTGCGTAAGACTACTCGATGGGGCCCTGCGTTCCTGGACCTTTTGTCAAGCTTGTCGCAACCAGCCAATAGCGGAAGGGCTCCTCAACTTGTCGGTTATAGACTGGGGTATATCGAGCCTTCAACAGCTTCCCAAACCCTCCGCGACATATTTCAGAACCTTGAGGCCGACTCACCAATCCAGAACCTTCAAGTTGGCAGGGAAAAAGTTCCAGAGGAGATCTCCACAGCCATCAGCGTTCCAGAGCAACCTGAGGCCGAAAACGCATATATGAAGATTTTGAACCAACTTTTCAGCGCTCGGCTTTACGTTGCCAATCAGCTTGGTTCCGAGAATGCAGGGATCTCTAGCACAATTGCCTCCACACCAGAGTATGGATTCGGTTCGCTCATTGCTCGCATCGAAGGCCGACAGCGTTTCATTCGTGAGGTTTCAGAAGCGGCTAAGTCAAACATGTTTACAACTGATACTCCCAAGACTTGGCTTTCGCGGTGGGCATTAAATGCCACACCAACCTTCTTCAGTGCTCTCTCCTTCATAATTTATCTTGTCTGTCTTTCTTCTGATGTTAGAAGCACAGACA